ATATATATATATATATATATATATATATATATATATATATATATATATATATGTTGTAACTAGAATGATTTGACAGTTAAATATGACTTTCCTACGACTTAAAGCATGAGCCCGAGCATAAAAAGCCCTGGTCAACATAACGTGGGTAACGCTATTCACCATGGCAACGCATGGAAATAAGAAGCCTTGACACGCACATTTTTCCTCAATGAAATCTTAGTGACGGAATATGAAAAACATCAACATACTTTTACCACGAAAAGTCATACGGTTGCTAAGAGAATTGCTGAGCAAGTCAATAAGTAATTCGACAGATTATGTAATAGACCTACCCACTTATCCACCTTCCAAATCAGCATAAAAAAATACAGCGCATTAAATAAACCCAATAGACGCGAAGAGGATAAGGCAGTAAATCAAGATGAAAATGATAATACAGTTAAATCGGGTAAGTTTCTGTTTTTCGCTATTGCTTAACGTTTATCAGTTGAATTGCACAGCTTTCGTTTGCTCGATTTATTATCTTACTGTGAAAGTAACATTCCCAACATCATGACATACAGATGCCTTTCAAAGATTTTCTGCATCATATTACACAAAAAACAAAGTGCAACTAAACTTCTTTTAGTTTGTTAGTGCGTTTGCCCTCTTGTTCTAAAGCAATGTGTCGGTTGAGATCATTATCAAGACTATATACAGCAGTAACGCTTAGAAATATGTTCATCTGGAAATTGTGATTTGATCAACTTCTTAGTTTTCTGGGAAGAATTTGGGCTACATCATATGTAGGCTCCTCCCATAAGTTTCCTTGTGCCAGGGCTCAGCTAAAAACGAAGGAAGAACCAGAGTTACCCAACCCTACTAGAGATGGTTTTTTGAAGTAGGTTACAAATGAAACTTGACACAGGATAACTGATACCTGGCTTCCTACCAACTGTATAGATACTTACCCAACCACTTACTCAGGGTTATTAATCAAGGTTACCACTCCTCTACAACGGCTAGATGTGTTGAAGGCTTCCATCTATGTTCCATCTGTCCGTCCATCCATTTCCTGTCCCTGCTCAGGTCACGAGGGTGCTGGTGCCCATCTCCAGCTGTCAATGGGAGAGAGAGACGAAAACACCCTGGACAGTTCGCCTGTCTGTCAGTTGGCATTTTAATTTCATATCTTTGCAAAGAGAGAACAGTACATCATACAGCCCTTACTGCTCTGTATTCAGCCCTGTTGTGCCTGGGCAGCGTGTGTTCCCCTTACAACAATGGAAATTAGTCAGAGTCAAAACAAATTACAGATACTTTGGTTAACAGCAACATGTTATGAATAAACCTTAAGAAAAAATCTGGCTTGTTAGGGGAAGAAGCTGTCTGGTCTATAAACAGCCCTCAGGAGAATTGTGTGATCTTGTAGGTGAAAGCGACTGAGTTAAAACTTTTATAGTGAGTAAAAAGGATAAATTAATATATGAAATAAGAGAAATCTAAATTTTCCCACCACAGTTACGCAGGGAACACAAGACACACATACAAGGAGAAATTAGAGAAGCAAATTAACCAAACATGTTTTTGGACTGTGGGAGGAAGCCGGAGTACCCGGAGAGAACCCACGCAGGGACAACATGCAAACTCCATGCAGAAAGACCCTGGGCTGGGAATCGAACCCAGAACCTTTTCTGTGCTGGGCAGTAGTGCTACCCACTACCCACTGTGCAGCCAAAGAACCCATTAACTCAACAGGTAAGATGAAAAAAAAAAAAAATCTGTAGTCTCTTGTTTTAAAATGCACTGCAAAACTTAGCTCTGCTTGTCTGTTATATTCAACACATTTTCTGTAATAGTTAAACATGATGATCATCAACCACTTTTTTTCCACTTTTACCATCTGTTTTCTAATCTTCAGGAATTCATTTAAAATACATTGATGTTTATGACACAATAAAAAAAAAAAAAAAAACGAGTCAGGTCATTAATGGTTTGAGATACATTTATTGTGTAACAGCAACGTCACTAGCATGCAAAGTCTGGTATGACACATGTAAGGCATTTTCTCCATGTAAAAGCTGCCTTTGTCACTAGGTAATCCAGTTTTAAAGTGCAAAGTCCACAGAATGAATAGCTCAGTACTACAGCACTACATTGTAAATGGATCTATTAACCAGACATGTAATGAAGAAAAACTAAAAGTCAGGATTGCTGCAAGTTAGTTTCACATTACACGATGCAATGACAGCAAAGCAGACGGATTTACAGATCCGATTCTGAGTTTCACACTGTGCCACAGAAGGGTTCAGACAGCTGGGTGCTGCTGCAACGACGGGTCGATCTTCATGAACCAGGAGGAGTCAGTCACTGGAAAAGACTGTAAACTGTGTCTGAAGGGTTTTGGTCTTCGGTAACAACGATAAAGACACATCTGTGTTTACATAGACACATGAACAAATACTCCCACTCACACCATTTAAAAAAAGGGTCATTTGTACATACAATCAGGTAAATCGACACATTAGACTATTAAAAAAAGCAAACAAATACAAATAAGACTCCATCTATATTAAACAAGACAGATGCAACTCAGTCAAAGAAGCGCGGGAGAGGGAATGCATTCCTTTAACATCGAACAATGAGCCGCCACAGCACCATGACAAGAGGCACGCTTCAGAAGAATCTGCTACCAACAGTTGGACCATGTTCGCCAGGCTCATGCCAAATTATTGCCATTATACCTTGTTTTTAAACCTGTGTGTGCATGTGCACTCATGCACACTAAATGGCTTTTAAATCTCGACACGATGAAAGCAGTGCAGGTAAACCAATCCTGCAGAATGGAGGATGCAGCGGTAACAACACGGGTTGAAATGAAGCTGCTGGAACAAGTTTCAGCTTCTGTTATGGACTGTTCGTCGGGATTTCATGTGTTGCTGGTTGGTTTAGATTTCTCCCTTAAAGGACACAACCAGTGCAGCGACATTTAAAAACTAAATAAACACAGAAAACATCCCTGCTTTTTACATCAGCTTAAAGACTTATATATTTCTCTTTCTATATATATATTTACATCTATATGGGAAGAAATAAAATTATTTTTAGTCTTGTGTTTTCCAATGTGGCAAACATTGCATTTTAGGAGTTTGCCTGGTCATGTGTGGCACAGGTTTTGTTTAGCAGTCCTTTCTTTCAAGTTAAAAACGATTAAAATCAAAATAAATAGTGTAAAAAAAAATAAGGAAATAAATGCCCATCAGAAAAAAAGCACTTCTGGCAAAAAATGAAAAAACTACGAGTTATTCACGTATATAAAAAAAAAAAATGGTAAATACACGATCTGGTCTTCAGGTCTGAATAAATAAGACAGAAAAACGAAAATAAGATGGTGATCGAAATTTGTAATGTATGGCACCCTGCTGGGGAAAAACAAAGAACAGAAAAGGAGCTTCAAGGGATCGCAGTGCCGTTCACATCCCCAGATCTAGGAGACACACACAGCTTTTCTGTCACACAGTTCTTGGCAATCTGTAAAGTTTCTACAATAAAAGTCAAATCAAGGGCTTTTTGTTCTGTTTTGATTACTTTTGCCAGCTTGTTCTGGTTGCAATCAAAGGGTTAAATAACATTTCACACAGCTAAATTAATCAGAAAGTGTCTTTTTTTGTTACACTCTAACATCTGACTTCATGTCTGAGATCAGCTTACAGTAAAGATCGGTTGCTCTTCCCTGATCCAAAGAAAAGGTTCATTTGTTTTGTTAAATCTCTAATACACACAGAGGTCTGGAAACTTCATCTCATAAATGGGGACGGATCGACTCTGGCTTTGGCCGTACCCTGAGGAAATGGTTCCAGATGGGCTGGGAGGGGGTCTGGAGAGGAGAGATAGAAGTCAACTTTCTCTGTATGCATGCTGAAGGGTTCACACATTATACACACATTTCTATGCTCATATTTATGGAGTCATCAGTACTTGTTACCACATTTTTACCGGTAGTATTAATACAAACAGTTCAGTAAGAAATCATGGATAGACAGATGGATGAGCAGATTAAGAGTGATTGATGGATGGAAATGGACAACTATGCTCTTTTATTGGCCTTTTCCATAATTATTCAAACCAGGAAACTCAATTTATAACGTTTCCTAGCTGTGTAGGAACCCAAGTAATGCAAAGTTACAACTATTTAAAATCTTTTTCTTTATATAAATATGTAAAGCATCATCTTTACCTGATAGTGATCTCGAATATCTGATTCAGTTTGCTCTGCAGCATCGTGGCCTAAAGGAGGCAAAATAATCATTAAGCAGTTGAAGGAATATTATTAGTTACAATAATATAAAGTCATAAAAAAATTATTTTGTACCCTGGCGCCACAGTGTGCAGCGATTTCCTCAAATGGTGCCTTTTGAAACTTTTCCACAACCTGTCTCCTCCGCTCCCTCTCCTGTTCCTCCATACCAACACTGTCCACTAGAGGGAGACATACACAAAGCAATGCATTTAAAGACTCATTAAAAGTAATATTTTTGAGTAAAATATCAACTCAAACTCCTTCTAGAAACATATATTGAGGTTAAAGTCACTTTTTGTTGCCTAGTAATTCGACAAATTTAACTCTTAGAAACAAGAACTGAATTTGCCAACAGAAGACCAAATAAACCAGTTGACGTACCAATGGCATTTTTCAGCGTCTCAAATGTGATCTCCTCAGCTGGCGTCCTCTGTGAAAGGCAACCAATTAACGTTATGCAATGTCAAAGGTTTAAAAAGAAATGTCTAACTTGTATCAATCATTTGGGTTTGAAGAACATTACCTCCTCCTTCTCTGGACTGTTTCGAGACTCAACCTCCACCTGAAGAGAGATGGTCTCCCCGATGCTCTTTCTTTTGGACAGCCGATCTTCATCTAAAGGGAAGATACAGTGGTTGTTATTCAAGTTCTCTACAGAAGAAACGTGGGAGAAAAATATAAAAAAAACAAAACAGAAACCTGAAAACTAGAAACATGTAAATAGAAGAAGGAAAACTATTAATTTAAATACAAAACCTAAAAAGTCATAGAATTAACCTATAAAATACTTGGTCTTCATAGAAAAAAATCTAATACTCTATACATCTGAGTAAAACCTTCTGCAGCTTTTCAAGAATTTTTTTTCCAGAGCTGAGAACCGTAAGAACCAAAAGGAGTGCCTTGTAGACCTTTAAAGACCTGCTCTGTGATAGTCTCAGAGGGCTGTTTAAAAACAATTAACGAGGATGAAATATAAAAATTTGAAAGACGAAGTGATAAATATGATTACAACTAAAAAAAACATGAACTATAGTATTTTTTTAATTTTACTTTAAACCAAAACATATATATAATTTTTAAATATCCTATCTGATTTAAGGATAGCAGAATACTCCATAGTGGATGAGGTGAGAGGCTGTGTGTGAATCAGTTACAGGGGAGATCTAAGTTTCACAGAGTCAGAGAAAAACATAAGGATTATGTTAAAAATTATATTTAGATCTCCTTTCTCATCTAGGGTGGAATCAGTGAAAGTTTTGCTCATGCAGCATGTCTCATTTTGGAAAAACAGACAGGTCGCTGTCTTCCTCTTAGTTGTTGCACAGCGATGCTGACTGACCAACTGACTATTGCATCTCTGCTTTAGAAGCAAGATGGGCTCAGAGCTGCAGTCTCTGAAGACAGTCAACTCATCATGATTGGCGGTTTTTACTGCTCAACAAAAGTCTCAAACAACACAAAAAGCCACAAGAGATATCAGTAGTCACTTTGGAAAAGCTGGTTCTGAAAAGCTGCTGAATATTCATCAGTGGTAATGAGAGCAGAGCTTTAGCCCCTCCCATCAGTGCTCTGTTTCTTAAGGTGGAGGATATCGACGATACAATGTTTTCTGAGGCATGAAAAGTAAAACACCACCTTAATAATAGTTAAGAGAGCCGATACGGCTGAAGCTTGTCGGTCAATGAGGAGCGTCTGATACCAGGTTTCAATGCCTTGACTTCAGCATGTAGTAAAAGTGCATATGGCAGAAATGTAATATTTCATAATCTAAGTGAGATGTATTGAATAAGAGTGGCCTAAAGGCCAAATTATGCTTCTCATGCATAGCATCTGCAACCTGCAAACTCTGTGTGCGACCACGCCCCCGGCAGAGGTTCTGCAGCCGTCGTCGTACACCTCAAAAAAATCCTGACTACACGTTAGACAGTCGCAAACCCGCGCAGACCTCAAGCGGAAATGCACAGACAAAAAGCAGCTGTGATTGGTCCTTGGTATGCCTTTCCGGCTGTCTGTGTGGTCCTTCTCCAATTCGGTGCGGGGGCACGCCATTTTTAAAAACCGAGGAACAACTACGGCGAAAGGTTAATCGGTCTTTTTTCCAACTCTATTAAAAGAACTGTTCCTCTTCGATGTCTAGTAACTCTAGATCCATCTCCGTGACAGTGATATCTTGTAGATGCGTCATTGTTCATTAAATTAAGTTCTCGGGAGTATTAGGCTCCTCCTTGCACATTGGCGGGAAACTGCTGTGCGCCCCTAGAAATTCCAGACCGACAGCGCAGAAGCATATCAGCAAAACTGGTCCGCAACCAGACCCAAGCGACATTTGATGTGTGTGGTTGCAGAAATATAATCTGCCCTTAAGAATAGAGCCTTGAGAAACACCATATGTAAATTTGTAGCCAAGCTCAACCAAGGAAGATTGGAAATAACTTGGAAAAGAACCAAACAATAAATGAAAAAAAATTGTTCAAAAATTATTTTTTACTGAAAACATTAAAACTCTGATGTTACAGGAATTTTTCCTGTGATAATGTGTTTCTTGTATTTGAAAGATTAAGAAATAAAGCACCTGTGGTCGATAAAATCAGATTCCTTAAATAAATCTGCTTTTTATCACTTTTAAACGTTTAAAAAAAAGCAGGTTTAAATATTCAATATTTGTTGAGGAACACTTTTAAAACTTTGAAATACTGAATGAGGCATTAGGCAGTTCCTACCGGTGTACTGCGGGATGTAGGGTGTAGCCAGTCTCTCTGTGTTGTAACCACTTCCTCCAAGGACCTCTGTGATCTTCGACTGGAGGAACAAAACGCCACCTTCAACCTTCTGCAGCGAAGACGGCAGCCTTTAAAACAACAACGAGCAATTTTAAATCTTTACACAGAAGAGAGCAATAATTCACTGCGAGTTTTCTTACAAACTTAAAATCTTTTTATATAAGGAGTATTAAAGATCCTTACTTGGGATTCTCAATAAAGACATCCTCAGGCAGAAGATAAGGACCTTCTTTCTGCCTCACTTCGATTACCTGGAGGGCAACAAGAAAGGAGGAGTTTAGGAAATGTTTGTGAGCAGGCAGAAAGATTCACACAAAAAAAAAAAATAAAAAATGCAGACAGACTTCGTGTATGTGTTGGCAGAAGGCTGGGACGGTGGTGAGCTGGCAGATAAGGTTAAGGTAGGCAGCAGAGAGGGCGTGAACAGCACAGCGGTTATAAACAGGCAGACCTTCATCCGTGGACAGAGCCAAGTCCTGCAACAACAAACAAAATGAACACGTCTCAAAAGGGACAGAATATTTTTTGGGTTGATTTTTATTTTGGTGGATCTTACCAAGTTACGTCTCTGTTCATACCTGCAAGGCGAGAGCCAGCCGGATGAGGTCCACCACCACCTCTTCGTTCGCCAACTCCACGCTGAGAAGACCCAGCAGAGTGTAGAGGGTCTCATAGTGCTGCTGGCCGCTGCTCTCTTCCTTGCAGCCCAGGTAGATGTGTCGGTAAAGCTGCTGGCCGTGCTGTGGGGTGGATGGTAAATTAACTGATTCAGAGGAAAGTGCAGATTTTGAAGTGTTGATGACACAATATCAACATTATCTAGTATTTTATTCTGTAGACCAAAACATTGATACTGATGATTAATGTAATCATTTCAATGGTGCCCGGATAAAACTGTAATAACAATAGTAGAACAACTGAGAGCATGAACAGTGGTTTTGTTATGGAAACCTGCTGAAGTTATCATAGATTAAGACACAGCTATGCCTTTGCGTGGTGAAGGAGTACCTTTTTCATGAATAAATTGTCCTGTCTGGAGCACTTGTCAACCTTGAGCTTCAGCACAGAGATGTCAGAGATGATGCTACACAGAAATCAGACAGAAGAGGCGTAACGGTGAAGCCGACACAACTAAAACTGCAGAACAGATCTGGCTGCTGCATACAGGAGTACTCACCTTATTTTTGATAATTTGGGCCTGTTGTCATGTCTGTCAATGAGGCTGAGGAGGATTTGGAGCACCAATAGTCGGACCTCCGGGTCATCAGTCTGAGAGAAGGACAGCAGCGGCTCCAGGAAAGAGCTGGGCAGTGCTGTAAGCATGTTGGTGGTCTGGAAACCTGCTGTCACCTTAGAGATTCATTTTGAAAGGACGTTATTTGCTTATACAGGTGTTATATGCACAAAGGTTGGCTAAAATTAGGATAAATATTATTGCCAAGTAATCGACACATCATTTCAAGACCATTAGGAAGTCTTACCCTTTATAGGGCACTCAGTGAAATACTTTTGAAAATCAAAATTTCAAGCCAAGAGTGTTATTGGAATCAACTTCAAGACCATATTACCTTTGTAAGATTCAAAAAATATGGATATTTTGATGGCAAATATTTATGTTAATGTAATAACAAAAGACGCTAACTTGCCCGAATATATTAAGACAAATAACAAAAGTGCTTCTATAGGAAATTCTTGAAAGAAAACTCAGGAGTGAAAGAAACATATTTTTTTTGGTACAACATAACCTTAGAGGCATTAATGCAGATACTGGCACTTACATTTTTTATTTTATAAACCTAAATATAATTGTGAACTAGGTTTATTAACCTTTCAGCTTTACTTTTTAACTTTTAATAAACATTTTACGTTTTTTTCTTAATTTGTTAACTTTTGTGTTTTTTTTAACTTAATTTAAAGTAGGTAATATATCATTCAAGGGCTCATGTAATTGGTCAGATCCCAAAATAAGATGTACAGCCATGTAGCAGTATCTTTGCTGAATGGCTGAATATAAATCTTGAGTTCTGGACCTAACTGAGGGATGTTGGGGACTCCATTTGTAATGGTTATGCAAGTGATAAAAAAAACTGTAAAAAGTTACTTATCTGTCAGAAAATACCTTAATTACTCAATTTTTATATATACATCTCCTTTCCTGCTTGAAACCTTAAAGGAAAAAGACATATTTTAAACTTATAGGTCATTCAAAACAGAATTTACCTGCACCAAGGACTTGAGCAGCATAACCTGAATCATTCTTGTACCCTCAGGCCTGTGAATAAAAACGTTTACATTTAAACTTTGATCCCATTAAATATGTTTTCACAAAGCAGATAAAAAAATGCTTTGGGTAAAGTTTTAAAAGACGGACTGATTTGCGCGGAAAACCAAACATACTCAGATTCAGTGGAAGGCAGAGTCAGATTTACTCCAGGGACGGGGATCTTTCCCATGATGAAGAGCATCACCTCTGACCTCTGGTATGTAGGTAAGGTGTTGGCAAATGAGCCTGGAAAACAGCAAAACAGAAATATGTGTATAATTTAAAAAGAGATTTGTCAATACTTAGAAATGAGACAAAACATCGACAGATTAACCAAAAGACTGACCGATGGTCGTGATGACGGCCTCCTGCAGCTGCCTCTCTTCGTGAGCTTTGATGATCTTGGTGCCGATGTTGGTAGAGCCGTCATAGGAGCCGGTCAGCTCATAATCCACGCTCAGACGAAGCTGCCTCAGCAGGGTGTTGAACACCTCCAACACAGTAGGGCCTGCATTTACACACAAAAAAAGGCTCAACATTTAAAATCTTGCAAGCAGATTTTTATTTATGCCACAGCTTAACGGACCTACGGAGCCGCTGGCTGCAATGGCAGCTGCCTCCAGCAGCACTTCTACAATGCCAGCCCGCACTTTGGCTGAGTTCTTGCTGTTGGCGTCCAGGTGGCCAAGGAGTTGCTGGATTACCAAATGAGAGTGTTGGGACTACAACAAGAAGAGCACAAGAGAAACAGCTTGAAACACCAGTGGAAAAACTGCAGGAAACTGATGAGTAAAGTCAATTATTTTAGCCCTTTCAAAATCTGCACACACCGCAAAACATAAATCTAATGGAAGTGAGCACTGAAGGCTCGACTGTGTGAGTCTAATAAAAACCTGAGAATTTCCTGCTAACATCTGGACTTAGAAAGGAGAAAAAACAGAGTGAGATACAGTTTTTAGAGTGAGTGGACATTTTCTCTCTCACCTGGATGGAGTACATGATGATTTTGAAACAGCGCACAGCAAAGGTCTTTCCCTCCCATAGAGAGTGGTTATCTAAGTGCCTGGAGCGGGAGGGGGCGTAATAAAGAGAAGCCAGAGGAAATTGAGAGGAGAAAAACACAGACAGCACTGAGATGTAGAGGTGGCAATAAACATGTGAGAGTAAACATTGGTTAAACTAACAATCATTCCTATATCTGCACAAAGGCAGCCTGCTGAATGAAAAAAAAAATATTGAACCATCTGCAAATTCATTCTGTTGTGCCAGAAAGCCCAAAATATTACATTTTCTGCACAACACACCTTCAAAAAACACATTTTCAGCAGAAATCTGTGTGAAAATCTGAAGCTATAAATGGAGGTTAAAAAGCATTATTAAAGCTGTTATAACTGACATGGAAGAAGCAGTAAAAAATGTTCTTTATTCATATAAAAATATATTTAAAAGAGTTGAGAGGTTCTAATTTGTTTATGTATGGTGTGAAAATGAAGCACATTTATGCAACATGTGCAGCTAAAGTTGATCACAATGTGCTGAAAACTGCATTATAAAAGAACACATCTGCAGGTGGTAAGCACTTTGATTGAGACCAAATGGTATCAATGTTTACAACATATCTAATATTTACAAAAACGTTGATATTTTCCTTTAACTTTAAAATGACCATTTAAGTCACTGGTTAAGTTTCAGCAAAACTTTCCCTCCAACAAAAGGCTGAGGAAATCTTTAGCTTAGGGACAGGAAATAAGGCCATGAGCTAGAAAACAGATAACAGGAGATGGGAATAGATTAATGCATCACCAGTGATGGATTCAATGCTACAAGCTACAGCGAGACTGAATGACCAGATCAAAGAGAGTTCTGGAGACGTGAACAGATCAGGAAACTAAAGTAACACCAAAAAACAGGGATGTTTTGATAAAATCATTTCAGTCCAATGATGCGACCTATACACAGCATCAGAACAGCTTTATATCATTTAAAAATCCCTGTTAGAAATGAACCCGATCCAGCCGATACCCTTGCATTGCCCTTGTCGCTCTCCTCTGAACCGATCAGTAGAAAGATCAAAAAGCCTAAACAGAACCTTCAGATCAAGCATTTCCCCCCATCTAGCTAATGTGTTCACATATCCAAACAACAACAACACAAGAGAGACATAAAAGGAGAGTCAGGAATTAGCCTTACATCAGGACGGGCGTGACGGCGTTCTTGATGTTGCCGTAGGCAGCTCGACCCAGCAGCTCCCTGAAACAGCGCTCCGTCAGCTCCACCGGGCTTTCCTTCTCCTTCTCCGATGCCTGCAGCGGAGAAGGAGAGCGGCTGGTAGGGAGCGGCGCAGGTGATGGAGCAGAAGGAAAAAGGACGAAGAGAGGAAGAGAAGAGAGGGATGCAGACAGAGAGAGTGAGAGAGAAAGAGAGAGAGAAGGAAAAAAGATTGAGAGTCAGTAAAGAAAACATACACACAAAGCACAATTTCTTACAGAATAAAACAAACAGGATCAGCTAAATCACTGCGTCACTTCTAACTGGGTCGACTTCACTGGCTGCAGTTCATCTGCAGCAGGAATTAGCCTCAGCTCACATTTATGCATCGCACATCTGTTTTAACCATGGGGGACATGTTCGTGTCCAAAAGTCTATTTACATTTTTGGGTTATGCTAATGCATAATTAAAATCATCTTCCACCATTAAACCATCGAGACAAGCTTCTGAAGGCATTATTTATTCTCATCCTTGTTCTTTATCCCATCGGTTCCAGGATTGTAACAAATAATCAATGTTTTCCTCACAGCAATAATATTTTCCATATAACCCTGAAAAGTGCAGAAAAAATGTATAAATAATAAAACTAAAAAGACCCGAAATAAGGCTCCAACACGACTAAATCCCATGGGAACAATTTCCACCATAAAGAAATTCTTTTAATATATTGCAGCAGAGCTGAACTAAATATGTAAAAACAATATTGCACTTCATTAGAAATCATACGTCCAGATTTATAAGGGGCATTAACATTTTATTTCGGTTTAATTGGAAAAATAATATCTGAAGTCATAGACGGAAATATGTAGAGCTGCAATACTTCAGTGTGTTTTGTTTGGAGGGTGGATGGGGTGTTAATCAGCTCTTCTCCGCATTACTCATTCATGTTATATAATAAAGCATATACACTCACCGGCCACTTTATTAGGTACCCCATGCTAGTAACAGGTTGGACCCACTTTTGCCTTCAGAACTGCCTCAATTCTTTGTGGCATAGATTCAACAAGATGTGGAACAAAGGTCATTTCCAGCTTCTATGCAGCACTTCAAAAATTCAACTCA